CGGGGATGGACTCCACGACCCACTGGGTCAAGGGTGTTGTGGCTGAAGGACACACATCCCCTCCTCCTCCTCACAGTCAGGTGTGCTTGTGTGCGGATGGGCCAATCCTCATCAGACCATGCAAGATCAACCAACCAAAGAACACCCAACAGATGGTCATGCCGTCTCTGCTTAGAAACCTCCAAAGGAGACTCTTATGGACTCCCGGTGGGAGCAGACTCCACTACTGAACAGCTCTTCCCATCAGGACGTTCTTTCTCTTGTTTAGGTGAGGCCTGCACACTTTGTCAGTGTGAGTGAGGGGTGGAAGACAAGGAGAAGCAGAGTCCAAACACGCAGAACACACCCCTGCTAGGCAAGCACGTGAATGCAATCCTCTCATGGCCTCCTCCAGCTTTGCAATAGGACAGACTGTCTCATAGGCAAGTAGTTCATTCCAACCCCCAAAACACCGCAGAGTCCTGGTCACAGTGTCACAGCCTCTGGCCTTGTAAAGTAGCTCATCTCTTGGAATCAACACTCTTGAGTTCTGACTTTTATTTATTTATTGACAACATTTCTGCCCCGCTCTTCTCAACCCCTGAGGATTGAGAACAATTCAACAATTCAATGCCACAATATCACAATAACAACAATATAAAACCATAAACAATAACATTAATTATACAGTCATATATACTTTCATCCAAAGTCCATGGAGGTTCTAGGCTTGATTTATCTGCTACTTGTAACTATTTACAGGTCTTCTCTTCATATTCTCACAAACACAATGGGAACTTCACACAACGGGGATGGTGGTGGATTACCTACGCAGACAATTATGGCAAGGCCTCTGACCAATGGCAGATAGCAAGCTGTCCTTCCTGGAAGGTCAGACCCAGATGGTGATGCTGGGGGGGGGGGGGGCTCCTGTTCGACTCCCTGGCCGGGGGTGTCCCTCAGGGTTGAAGGTTCTCCCTCAGGCTATCTAACATTTACATGAAACCACTGGGAGAGATCATCCAGAGTTTTGGAGTTTGGTGTCAAATGTATGCCGACGACACCCAACTCTATCACTCCTTTCCAACCAAAGCCAAGGATGTCACCCTGCTCCTGAACCAGTGCCTGTCACCAGTGATGGACTGGGTGAGAGCTCACAAGTTGAGAGTAAGTCCAGACAAAACAGAGGTACTCCTGGTCAGTTGGGAGGCGGATCAGGGTGTGGGATGACAGCCTGTGTTGGATGGAGTCACATTCCCCTGAAGACACGGTTCGCAGTCGGGGGGTGATCCTGGACTCATCGCTGACCCTGGAACCCCAGGTATCGGGGGTGGCCAGGGAAGGTTTCGCAGAATTAAAACTTGTGTATCAATTGCACCCATACCTTGAGACGCCAGATTTGGCCATGATACTACACATCTTAGTTGCACCCCATCTGGATTACGGCAATGCTCTCTACGTGGGGCCATAGTACAAAAGCTGCAATTGGTCCAAAGATCTGCAGCCAGGTACTGGAGCACCGAACAGGGAACGGACAACTCCTACATTAGGGCAGCTCCACTGTCTGCTTCTGGGCTAAATACAAGTGTTGGTCATTACCCGGAAAGCCCTAAACGCTTCGGGACCAGACAATCTACAAATACAAACCGCCCTGGGCGCTGTGGTTCGCAGAGGAGGCCCTTCTCTCAGTCCCACCCTTGTCTCAAGGGCGGCTGGTGGGGACGACAGAAGGGGTCTTTTCTGTGGCCGCTCCCCACCTCTGGAACTCCCTCCTGAAAGAAGTAAACTTGGCCCCTTCCCCCCTCTCCTTCAGTAATCTTTTTAAAACTTGTTTATGAGCTCTAGTTTATGGGGAAGAGGAGGATGAGCGCTTTATTAAATCTATTCTGTTAGTTTTTAATAAAACTAATGCCTTTTTTCCCCCAAGATGGCGACAAAGCAACAGCGACCCTGTTAACACCAGCGGGGCTAAATCATAATCTGCTGGAATCCTTGGCTTTCAGCCTTCATCCTGCTGCAAATTTGGCGAGAAAATCTCCCTGATTTATCAGGGCACCGAACAAACTGAAAAAGACCAACAGCCGTGCTGGAAACTTACCATCATTGTGAGCGAAGGTGAGCTGCCGATGGCGCCGGAATAGCGGGTAGGCCATTGTGTCAGCTGGGACTTTCCATCGGGCCCCCTCCTCTCTGAGAGAGCGCCAGGCCGTGCCGCTATTGTCCCCCCCCCCCTTTTTTTGCCATCTGGAAGGGGGTGAAGAGAGCCGGCAAGCCACGGCCTATTCGGCCTATCCGGCCCCTCCGCCCATCAGGAAGGGGCCGCGGAAGAGCGCCAGGCCGCACCGCTATTGTCCCCCCCCTTTTGCCATCCGGGAGGGGGTGAAGAGAGCCGGCAAGCCGCGGCCTATTCGGCCCCTCCGCCCATCAGGAAGGGGCCGCGGAAGAGCACTAGGCCGCGCCGCCCCTCCCTTGCCATCTGGGAGGGGGTGAAGAGAGCCGGCAAGCCGCGGCCTATCCGGCCCCTCCGCCCATCAGGAAGGGCCGCGAAAGAGCGCTAGGCCGCGCCGCCATTGCCCCCCTCCCTTGCCATCCGGGAGGGGGTGAAGAGAGCCGGCAAGCCGCGGCCTATCCGGCCCCTCCGCCCATCGGGAAGGGGCCGCGGAAAGAACGCTAGGCCGCGCCGCCATCGCCCCCCCCCTCGCCATCCGGGAGGGGTGAAGAGTGGACCAGCCAGCTGCGGCCTCATCCGGCCCTTCGCCGCATCGGGAAGGGGCCGAAGAGCTCCAGGAAGCTGCTTTCCCCCTCGCCAGACCGGGAGGGGGTGAAGAGGCAGCTAGTCGAGGCTTTGTTCGAGCCCTTTTGCACTGGGAAGGAGCTGAAGAGCCTTTCAGGCCTTGCCTGAAAGCAGGATTCTGCTGCCGCCATCTGACTCCTTTTCTTTCTTTGTTTTCTTTTATTTTCTTTCCTACTTTCTCTTTTTGGCTAGTTGTTATATAGTTATATAGTTATAGTTATAGTTGGCTGCATGTTGTATGTTGTATGTCTTAATTGCTGATTGTGTTAGGAGGTACGGAGAACAAATAGGATTATTGATAGTAGAGGATAGGATTGCCGGGGTGGTTTGGGTGAAGAGGCCCAGGAGAGTGCATGAGACTGTCTGTGATAAAGAAAGTGATTACATAGGAAGGTGTGGATGGTAGTTGGATGTATATTGACTAGTGAGAGAGTGTGTAGGTTTAGTATTAGTTGGTGAGAGAAATTGTGGGAGAATGAAGAGAGTATGGGATCTTGTGGAATGCCTGGAGGAGTGACTGACTGTGTCGGAAGTTGGATGTGAGTGAGAATTGGTAAGAGCGGATGGATATTGTGGTGTGAGAGGTACTTATTTAGACATGTGAAGAATGATCTATTGCACTTTAATGACCTCCTGAGGGAATCGTTCAATCATGTGTTGCTTCAACTCAAGTTTTTGAACGAGAAAATGGACCACCTTCTCAGAGGCTTTGCCTCTTTTTCAGGAATTTCAGTGCAATCCAATCCCCCAAAGACAGACAATCTCTTGTGTGCAGATCTGACCAAGGACTTGTGCCCAAATGGGGAGAAAGGCACTTTGGATCTTGGGGTGGAAGGAGGAGTGAATGATGAGATGACTGAGGGAAGGGGAGAGTTATTGGGCATACATAGGAATGAGAACATTTTGGAGTGGCAGCGGACTGTGATGGCCTCTCAGAGGACGACCAACAATACAACATCAGATCTTATGGCTCAGCCAACCGCAGTTTGCATCCAGGACCAACATCTCCTAACAGACAATTTTGCGGTAGACATTGCTGACCTAATGGTAAACAGAGGCAGATGGACCTCTAAGAGGGCGGTTGGTGACTCCTTGGCCCAAATCCTAGGTAAAAGAGCACAGGAAATAAGACTGGAAGCCATAGTATGGCTGTGGAGGGACTATCAGTCACCTGACCGCTCCACTCGTCTTCTAATTACACCAGAAGATAACTTATGGCTTGGCGAGCTAATGGCAATGCGATCCTGCCTAAAGAAATGGGGCATCACCATCAGAAGGGTAGTTGTGGACCCTCATATACGCCCCCTCTTTGACTCTACCCCACACACTCACTTCGGTCATCTGGAGAGGCCCTGCTCGTGATCCCACCCGCGTCGCAAGCGCCTTTGGTGGGGACACGAGACAGGGCCTTTTCTGTGGCGGCCCCCCGACTTTGGAATGCCCTCCCAAAAGATCTTAGACAGGCCCCTACATTGGCAGTCTTCAGAAAGAATTTAAAAACTTGGCTGTTCCGATGTGCCTTCTCAGATTAGGAATCCCCATCACCAAGTCCTAGAAGCACTTTAGTAGAATTAAGATCGCTGCACACCGCACACCGCACTTATTTTATAATCCTACATTCCTCCTGCCACTTCAGCACTTTTAATTCCTGTACCCACTGCTCTGGCCGGCCCAGTTTTAAAGTGTCCTGATGTATTGTTATTGTTGTTGTTTATTTTGCTTAACTGTTTTGATTTGCTTCTGGTATTGCTGTTGTATTATGTTTTGTTGTATTGTGTTTTGAGGCTTCGGCCCGTGTGAGCCGCATCGAGTCCTACGGGAGATGCTAGCGGGGTACAGATAAAGTTAATAATAATAAATAATAATAATATGCAAAGACACAGCATCAAAGAGAGTGCTGCGAAAAGCTAACGGGTTCTCTGAGAGCACGAGAGAAAGAGTGAGACAGGAGAATAACGCAGGCAAAGGTCGTTAAACCTTTTTAGGCCAGTCTGCTGATTCAAAACAATACAGCCTCGTCAAAGCCAAACACATGCAAGCAAATAACAACTCGAGAACACCAGAATAAGACAGTTTACTCACAAATCATGTATGAAGGTGATCATACAGGTAAAATCTTGAGTTTCATGTAATCCAAAAATATAGCTAGGAACCAAGCCAGACCACACAAACTGCTGCACATGACAGAGAGAGAACAAGTCGGCAGCCTTCTTTTTCTGTCCATCGCCCCAATGTTTTGTCTACCTGGGACCCTTTGAAACATACAGACAGGTCTCCTCTAGATGTGCGTGAGCTCTTTGCTGTCTAATGCATTTCCCCTTGTGTGGCTCCTTTGATGGCTACGCAGAATCGCACTGTGACTGAAGCTCTTTCCACATTCCATGCATTTATGTGGCTTCTTCCCTTTGTGGGTCCTTTGATGGCTACGCAGATTTGCACTGTCACTGAAGCTCTTTCCACATTCCATGCATTTATATGGTTTCTCCCCTGTGTGGGTCCTTTGATGGGTACGCAGTTCTCCACTCTGACAGAAGCTCTTTCCACATTCCACACATTTGTACGGCTTCTCTCCTGTGTGGGTCCTTTGGTGGGTATGCAGACTTGAACTCTGACTGAAGCTCTTTCCACATTCCATGCATTTATGTGGTTTCTCCCCTGTGTGGATCCTTTGATGGATACGCAGATGTGAACTCCAACTGAAGCTCTTTGCACATTCCATGCATTTATGTGGCTTCTCCCCTGTGTGGGTCCTTTGATGGAAACGCAGATGTGAACTCTGACTGAAGCTCTTTGCACATTCCATGCATTTATGTGGCTTCTCTCCTGTGTGGGTCCTTTGATGGGTACGCAGTTCGCCACTCTGACTGAAGCTCTTTCCACATTCCACACATTTGTACGGCTTCTCTCCTGTGTGGGTCCTTTGATGGGTATGCAGACTTGAACTCTGACTGAAGCTCTTTCCACATTCCATGCATTTATGTGGCTTCTCCCCTGTGTGGGTTCTTTGATGGATACGCAGAGCCCCACTTTCACTGAAGCTCTTTCCACATTTCATGCATTTATGTGGCTTCTCCTTTGTGTGGGTTCTTTGATGGGAATGGAGATTTCCACTGTGAATGAAGCTCTTTCCACATTCCACACATTTGTACGGCTTCTCTCCTGTGTGAGTTCGTTGATGTGTAGTAAGAGAACTTCTCGCAGTGAAACATTTCCCACATTCCATACAGTTATGTGGCTTCTCCCCTGTGTGTGATTTTGAGAAGAAATTGAGATTTTCCATTCTTTTAAATTTATTATTCAAATATTATGCCAGAAGGTCACAGATATGTTCTCCTGATTTCCTCTGCTCAGTCCTTGTATTGCTCTAGTCCATTTGAATATATAAATTACCAAGCCGCACTGTTTACAGCACAATCCTCCCTTTCCTCCTTGAATACACAGCTATGGAGCTTGAAATATAATTTCTCCAACTTATTTCTTGTGAGTGCTGTGTAATTTCATTCCTGACCTAAGACAAAGGGAAGTGTTCTTCACAAGGTTCATTCAGAGGTTACCTGCCAGAGAAAAGAGAGGAAAATCTTATCAGGATCAGAGCACAAAAGTCTCTCCTTGAACAATAAGAGCAATAGCTTGGTGCTGTAGCTAATGCTGGAGAAGAAGGGAGAAAGAGCGGTCCTATTGAGAAGAGCCTTTGCCTGCTGAGAAGCACGTTAACACTTGCCCAACAAAGAGCAAGCCCTGCAAAGAGGGGGGAGATTGTTTGAACTGCGGTGTGTTCAGAGTGTCACCCAACCTTTGCAAAGGAAGACTTCTAACAATATGGTCAGCGCAGAAAGGGCTCAGGTTGCAAAGCGTTTCCTGCCTGGATCCCGCTTCCTCACATCCCAACTCAGAACTTGAGTGACCACCTGTACGGGCAGACCATCCCAAGTGGTCAGTCTTGTGAGAAAAATACTTCATTTATTTCAACTGAAGCCATTTTTTCCTGACCCTCTCTTTCCCTGCAGTGCGATCCCTGCCCCACGTTTCTAAAGCGAGGAACCTGGAGACATGGAGAGCACATTCGGCCACAAAGTCCCTTGACATATTGCATTCTTACAAAACCTATACCACAAAGGTGTGAAACATCAGGCAGAACAAATGCAAAGAGAAAAAAAACAAAGCAAACTCCTACACCAAGACCACAAAAATGGAGATAGGGATGCAGAAGCACAGGGTGGAAGGCACTCAGCCTAGCAGCAGTACACGAGATAAGAGGTATAGAGGAGATGGAAGAAGGATGGACCTCCAGTGCTAAAGATGATGTTTGTGCGATGGCTCAAGGGCAGCCCTCAAGTTCACCGCATCCACTACAGGCCCCTCTTCGACCCTCTGAGCCCATTTGCAGGGGTTTCATTGAGATTCACCTGCCAGTTATCACGGGTGCCTGCGCCCTACACCACTGGAGAAATTACACTGTTTAGCCAGTATTGCACCACTTGACATCCGCCGGGAAGTAGCAGCTGATAGTGAAAGGACCAAGGCAGAGACATCTCCAGCTCATCCCGTTTTGGTATCAGCCAGCACGTCAATGACTTAAATCAAGAAATAGTTTTCTAAGATCTACAGAGACACTCGCTGGAACACCTCAGCAAGCAAGAGTCCAAAAGTGGCAGGCTCAAACCCAGAACCTCAATCCATGGCTGATACCAAATGAGAGATTCCCCCATGGGCACACAGAAGACTGGGCGACTTGGAAGGCACTGAACAGACTGCGCTCTGGCACCACGAGATGCAGAGCCAACCTCAAGAAATGGGGCTACAGGGTGGAATCCACGACATGCGAGTGTGGAGAAGAGCAAACCACTGACCACCTGCTGCAATGCACCCTGAGCCCTGCCACATGCACAAGGGAGGACCTTCTTGCGGCAACACCAGAGGCACGCCAAGGGGCCAGATCCTGGGCAAAGGACATTTAACCAGCTACCAAGCTTGCAAACTTTGTGTGTTGTTTGTTTGTTAAAAAATGCAACACAACTGTTTGGTATGCTTCTGACACAACAAATAAAAAATAAATAAATAACCTTGCCAATTGAGCTGAGACTGTCACCTGGGTAGTGCCAGGCTTGTTTCCTAAGCAGGACATTGTACAGCTTGTGCCGCCAGGTAAATGGTCCCCCAATTCACCAGAGAGTTTATTGATCACATTCACAAGTACCATTTTGATCAATGTTTTGAATGTTTATGTATACCCACATGAATTCTTGTCCCGGCATGTTTGCCGTATATATATATGCTGCGCTCCTCCCCGAGTCCCCTTCGGGGTGAGAAGGGCGGAATATAAATCCAGATTATTGGAGATCGGAGTATCCATCCGGTGTGCTCTGAGCTGGACCACATGAGCCTACACAATGCCATATGACCCAGTGCAAGGGAGCTCACCTGGGTTTCCTCTGGCAGTGCGGAAGTGGAGGGAGGCGCAGGCACAGAGGGAAGCTGGTCAGGAAGCACAACCTCGAAACGATCTCCAGACCCAGCAAGAAAATCCAACCAATGCTCCATTCAGCAAAGGACAAGAGGTCTCCATAGGGACCCCCAAACACAGCAGCATTTCCCAAACACGAATCCAGGAACATGAAAGGCACTGCAGACGGATTACACCAGAGAAGTCAGCCATAACTGAGGAACCCACCTGGACACGGCTTATTATTTGAGAAGACAGAAATGCTGGACCACTCTCACAACCACCATGTCAGGCGACACAGAGAAGCCACTGACATCCGCAAGAAACATGTGGACAATGTCAACAGAAAGGAGGAAACCATGGAAATGAACAAAATCTGACTACCACTATTTAAAAAAAAAACTCTAAAATTCTCACAGTCAATAAAAAACAAAACTGCAACCCAGGGGAACTCCAGACAAGAAACAATCAGGAACACCTAATCACCTCTCAACAAGGATTTCCCCCAGGGAGTAACAGGACACACCTAAAATCTGTCACGCCATCAAATGCTAATCAAAGTGGCCAATTGAAACATTCATACCTGCCTCCAAGAGACAAGAGTTCTTTCTCCCACCCGGGACATTATTCCACAGATATATAAACCCCGCTTTTCTAGTTTCCAACAGACCTCACAACCTCTGAGGATGCCTGCCACAGATGCAGGTGAAATGTCAGGAGAGAGTGCTTCTAGAACATGGCCATACAACCCGAAAACAAAAATTTGCTTTAGGCACTGTCAGGCCATTATATGCTAATCAAGATGGTCAGTTGAAACATTCACACCTAGCTCCAGCAGACAAGAGTCCTTTGTCTCACCCTGGTTATTCCTCAGATATATAAACCCTTTTTCCTAGTTCCAACAGAGCTCACTACCACTGAGGATGCTTGCCATAGATGCAGGCAAAACGTCAGGAGAGAATGCCTCTAGAACACTGGCATATAGCCCAAAAAAACCTACAACAACCCAATGGAGAAATGGCTTCAAACTACAGGAAGGGAAGGAGATTCCACCTGACCCTGAGGAAGAACTTCCTGAGTGCGAGGGAGAGCCCTTCAACAGAGGATCTTTCTCAGGGTGCGGTGGAGGCTCCTTCTTTGGGGGCTTTGAAGCAGAGGCTGGCTGGCCATCTGTCAGGGGTGCTTTGAAGGTGATTTCCTTCTTGGGTGAAAGAAGTTGGACTGGATGATGGCTCATGAGATCTCCTCTATCTCTAGGATTCTATGAATCTCTGGCTATCCCAAACGAATTCCAGCCTGTTAAGGCCAAAGATGCAGGAGGGGAAATGAAGGCCAGAAGGATCCGAGTCTCTTATGGTCGGGTAAGGGAGCCGAAGAAGGAGGAGGAGGAGGAGGAGGAGGCTTGAGGGCAGGGCAGGGGTATCTCTGGCGGGGAGGGAAGGAGAAGGGAAGGAAGGGAGGGGCTGCTGAGTGTCTTGTTTGAGGCCCCTTCTACACTGCCACACCATCCAGATTATTAGAGATCAGAGAATCCATCTTGTCTGCTATGAGCTGGAGGACATAGATTTAATTATGGCATTTCTATGCCACCCTTCTCACCCCGAAGGGACTCAGAGCAACTTACATGATATACAGAAATACAATTTGTTATACTATTAGCATAGCACAATATCAGTATTATCTATTACATGTAATATTACATGTAATATAAAATATATAATTGTAATATCATATTATTATATATTATAATAATAAATATTATTACTAGTATTATATATATCGCCCTTCTCACCCCGAAGGGGACTCAGAGCGGCTTACAAGATAGAATATATTATACAATTCGCATGGTACAATATCAGCATTATTATGTGTAATACTGTTGTTGTTCATTCGTTCAGTCGTCTCCGACTCTTTGTGACCTCATGGACCAGCCCACGCCAGAGCTCCCTGTCGGCCGTCACCACCCCCAGCTCCTTCAAGGTCAGTCCAGTCACTTCAAGGATGCCATCCATTCATCTTGCCCTTGGTCGGCCCCTCTTCCTTTTACCTTCCACTTTCCCCAGCATCATTGAATATAAACTATATAATTATAATATCATATTATTATATGTTATATTATTTTATTAATTTATTTACGACATTTATATGCGTCCCTTCTCACCCCGAAGGGGACTCAGAGCGGTTTACAAGGTATATATACATACAATATATTATATTATTAGTATAGTACAATATCAGTTTTAAATATTGCTATATTATACTATACCAATTATACTGTAATATTATTAGTAATATTACATGTAATATAAATATATAATTCTAATATCATATTATTATTATTATTATTATTATTATTACTATTAGTATATTGCTTTACATTATAATATTATATTATTAGAATAGCACAGGAGACAAGGTGGAACTGTCCCCTGGCCTCCCCTTTCTTTGCTCCGGTCCAGAGCGGCAGTTGGTGCTGGGGGAGGGGTCTCCAGCTGATGGCATATGCAGGAGAGAAGATGGCACTATTATTATTATCAGTATTATATATATATCGATCTTCTCACCTCGAAGGGGACTCAGAGCGGCTTACAAGATATATATAGACATAAAATATACAATACTATGAGCATAGTACAATATCAGTATTATATATTATATATAATATCACATGTAATATAAAATATATAATTATGGTATGTTATTAAATATTATTATAATAAATATTATTATCAGTATTATATATATTTCATTATATATATATATATATATATATGATATATCAGTATTATATATATATATATATATTTAC